CCAGTCTACTGGGGCAGGATGCAGCTAGCAGCTGGGGGGGGGGATATGGTGCAAATAGCTGGTCTTGCCTAGGGAGCAAAATAGTCTAGCACCGGCCCCGGCTACTGGTAACAACAATCATTTTCCTTACAGACATTTATGGATTTATGGAGAGACCGGCACAGCACCAGCAGCTGTCTGCACCATCGTGATTAATATGTCAGCTTCTGGCTCACCGCGCTGCACAATGAGTATAGACATCTGTATTTACTTACCACGTCTTCCTTTTCTGGAGGATAAATCTCCCTCTGAAACATTAAAGAACAATAAACGTTCAGTCGATATTAGTTAATCAGGTAACACTATGTATCTATGTTATCTTGTGTACTGTACAAATGAAGGCAGAACTCTGGCCACGCACAGCTTACCTTCATATAATGTATGTGAATGATTTTATATGCCAAAATATAAGTCATTCTATTCATTATTCTAAACATCCTGAGCCTCTATTTTGTTTGCCCTTTAAATATAAAGCTGAACTCCAGGTATAAATATTTATGTATACCTGCATAGGTCCCGCTTGTACATATTTTACACCTGGAAGGGCCACGAGGAGCTTCTACAGTGCTGGCTGAGAAGTTCCGGGACCTGTAGGGCGCTGTGCTGAGCTTCTTCCCCTCTGCTCTATAGACCCAGGAGGTCACTTAGCACAGAGGTCAATCAAAGAATGCCTAGTATTTATAAAAATACGAGGCGTTCCCTGAATGGATGCTGTGTCAAGCGAGTGACCCCTTGAGATTCCAGAGCAGAGGGGAAGCTGCTCAGCACAGAGCCGCACAGGATCCAGAACGGGGGGATCCTGTAAAACACTTGAGGCAGGGGGGAAGGGGTGGGGGTTTTGGATGCTGCTGCTGAATATCCCATGGAAGGGGGGGATTTGGGGGACCAGTTGTGCTGCTGCTGCTCACCATCAAGAGTGTCCTGCTCAGCTCCCTGGCGTCCGATGATGACAGTGAGCAGGTCAAGAAGAGCTGTTAGCAACATGGGATGCTGTGGTCGCCCCTCTAAAGCCCCCCCAACACACCTGCCACCCCCCCAAATGAGATATCACAAGAGGCAATTGCCTCAGACTGGTTCATTATAGGGATGACCCTGCTTTCTGTAGTAGCAGGAGAAATTTCACATCACTCCCTGTAGTGACAGGACCTGGGAAGTCCTCTCTCTAATAACGACACAGATGTCAATAAAGACCCAGCAGACACTCTAACCCTTCTTTGCTGGAGTTGGGCTTTAAGCACAATGACATCAGACACCCCAGCATGACATCCCAAGTACAAAACAGCCATTGTGTACCCAGCAGACAGGATCTGTACAAGGAAATGAAGAGCCGGGTGAACCGGCCGCGGTGCTCTATATAGTGATGTAGGAGGTGTCCGGGGTGCGGTTGTGTATCCTCCGGGTGGAGTAATATGGTTGGCTTTGTGCCCCGCTGTTTAATGGGAGCACAGTCAGCAGGTTACAGAACGGGTCTGTCCTTCTGTGCCAACCGGCATTACCTGGGAGGCTGCAAGCGATATGTTTTGATTTCATGTCCACCAGTCTTCAGACTAACAAAGCTCATCAGTGGGAAGAAGGATTAACCCCAAAACCATTTCCTTCAGTGTTCACAACAGACCAGGAAGAGGCAACTACAGATCTCACTCATCTGATACTCGTCTTGCTGCATCGGCCAAAATTCGAACAGAGACGGCATCCTATCAGATAGAGTCACTGTCCAGGTTTTGAGGCAGCCATGGGTGTCCCTGCTGTCTGAATACAATAGCTAGGAGTGTAGATTCCTCCATCCACACTGTATAGCATGGGCGGGGGAATCAATTGATTTCTCTTGTTCAGCACGCAAGAGAAAACTACACATGTATGGCCAGACTCATCTCATAACCTGAGAACACATGTGGGAGGTCAGCCAGCTGATACACGAGCAACTGTAATGCTGGGCACACATCTTACATGACCTCCTCGAGAAATAGACTACTTCCTGGTATGTGAGTACGGCTGCAACAACTAATCGATTAAATCAATTAGAATCTATAATGAGAATAGTTGGCAACGATTCTCATCATTGATTAGTCGATTTGTTTATTTGCCGTCTGCTCCTTCGTTCTCCTCCCTGCTGGTGCTGGCTGCAGTGGTCTGTGTCCCTTTCAATCCCTGCCTGTGTCGGCAGCGGGGACATAGACCACTGCAGCTAGCACCAGCGGGGAGGAGAGACTGCTGTGACTGTATTCCTCCGCTGCCACCCCTTGTACCTCCGCTGCTGCCACCCCTTGTACCTCCGCTGCTGCCCCATTCCTCCTCTGCCCCCTTGCCTCTGCTGCTGCCCCGTACCGTCCCTGCCACCTTTGTTCCTCCACTGCCACTCCCGGTGCCTCCACTGTTGCCTCGTCCCTCCTCTGCTCCCCCCCGTGCCTCCACTGTTGCCTCGTCCCTCCTCTGCTCCCCCCCCCGTGCCTCCACTCCAAATAGAGGATGGGAGCAATACCCAGCCAGCTAATGGCGATTTTAAAATGCAACAGCAGGGTCAATCAGCATAGGAGGACCTGATGGAGAACTATATCCTTCAGGTCCCCCTTCTGCTGACTGACAGCAGGTGGGTGCAATAGCCAGACTGTTATTGGCTATTGCCATTTGAAATATCCAATAGCAGGCTGGCTATTGCACCCAACAATGAAAAATAAAAAATAAAAAAAAGTTTAAAAAAAGGTAAATAAACTAAAATTAAAAATACAAAAAAAGTTTTTTTTGGCCTCTTATTTTAAATAAAAGTTTGGTTATTGTATTACTTTGGCTTAGAGGTTTACAATTCACATTATTTTAAATCCATGAAACTAATTAAAATGTCTAATATAATACATACAATTATTAAAAAGATATTCTATATATAAATAAAAAGGTGGAAAAGGCCATTTTCAGTTTCAGGCCTGAGAGATTTTGCTACAGGAGGTGCGTTGCTGTGCCATTCATTTCCACGGATCCCATATGCACCTCCCGTCTGCAGTGTGATCGCCTGCACTGGAACGTGCGGTAGTGCAATGCCCTGCGTTCTTGTGCGATTTCAGAAAATGTGCATACCGTTTCTCTGAAGTAAACATGTCTGTAACGCGCCATTTGTGTATTTTATTTTAAATAAATGACTATTAATTGTCAAAATTTTATCCGATTAATAGAAAAAAATCCCCCCCCAAAAAATCGACCAACTAATCAATTATGAAAATAATCGTTAGCTACAGCGCCTATATGTGAGGGTGCCTCCTGGGGTGACAAACTCATATCTGCCACAAGGCAAACAAGGCTTTCGTCTTGAGCGGCACAAAAACGCAAGCCCCAAACCAGTGAGGCAGAGTCTCACCTGCCATTACCAGTCCCGGCACAGATATCAGTACTGGTGCCAATACCGGGCATTTTCACAAGGGTCGTACTCGTGCTCTTGAAAATGCCCCGCTGCTACGCGCCAATACAGATTTTTAAACTCTAAATGGAAGCAGATGCCGTGCTCCCTGGTGAGCCTTTTGGGGACCTCGCAACACTGTTTACAGCGCCAGCCGCACATCTACTCCTTTCAGGAGAACCAAGCTGCCCGTGACCGCCCACAAGAGCCTCGGGATCCCTTGCGAGTGTCACACAGACCTCCAAAGACCCTGCCGCCACTTTGGAGCAACACAGAGTATGTAGCTTCATACTATTCTGCATTGCTGTATAATGTGTTGCTGGGAATTGTAGTCCTCTATGGCTGGTGGTATTCTGCATTGCTGTATAATGTAGAGGTGCACCGAAATAGAAATTTAAAAACCGAAAATACAAAAAATTGTCAGGCCGAAACCGAAAATGTTTTTATTTGAACTTTTTCAGATTTTTAAAATATTTTAATTTTTATTCATAGCGGCTGGTCCAATCAGGTAGTTAGGCACGCATTCCCAGCGCAGTGATTTCTGTGATATAGGAAGTGATGTAGATCACTTCCCATTCATTCATAATAGAGGATATAGTAACCATACTGTCCTCAATTATGTACAATACACTCAGCGATCACTGACTGCTTGTACCCGCCCTCCATCCTGACAGCTGTCACAGGAGGCTGATCGAGCGGTGTAGGGAGGAGAGCCCAGCCTCCTGCGACAACGCGGCCTGTCTCCGCCCCCACACCGCTCTGCCGGACTGTGACAGGAGGCTGAGCGGGGTGGGAGGAGAGACGCCGGCCGCTCACAGCGCTCTTCTCCCGCAGTGCTTGGTCGGCTGTCACTTTCTCTCCTCCCCGCTGGAACACAGAGCAGCGCCCAACAGGGAAGAAAGAAACCAGGGATGCGCCGATGTATCGGCACGAAAATGGCACTTTCGGCATTTAGCCAAAAGTGCCATTTTCGGCCGATATGTTTCGGCAGCCGATATATCGGTGCATCCCTAGTATAATATATTGCTGGGATTTGTAGTCCTCTAGAGCAGGTGGTATTCTGCACTGCTAATAGTGCAACCTGTCAGAAGCTGGACACGGTGCGTTTACTGTATCCAGTGATTGACCGGTTATGCAAAATGTCTGAAACAGAAAGGGGAGGGTAAAATTTACATGGGGAGGGGCAAATTTAGTCTTGCCTAGGGCAGCACACAACCAAAATACACCGCTGCATAACTGCAGTGTGAGATCTAGGGCACTGCTGCCTGTGACTGATAGTCGCAGTGAGATTTGGTGATGTCCCTACTAGGCTGCTCACTGTTCCAGCTAGAGACTCAGACCCCCTTCTCAGCTGCAGAAGTCTCCAGGCAATACTGGTGACTGGCCCTTTGCCCTCTGTCTGCCCCTTTGGGCCCAGGTTGAAGAGTTCAGTTCCTCTGTATTATGGAGGGAAATCTCCTCTTAGGGAGTGGTGACTAACGACCCCCTAAGTATACAGATCCTCAGTATGTGATAAAACAGACAGTATAGCGCATACCTTCCGCTTCACAATGTACTCTTCAAAATATTCCGGTTGATTCGAGATCCAAAACATGGTCACCGGGAATGAGAGGTAGAGCATCATCTGGAGGGAAGACATCAGAACGTCAGCAGTGCAATAAAGAAGAATATACACCAGGTTGTGTACACTCCAGCCAAGTGTACATACACGCCCTGCCTGAAAGAGTCTTGCCTGTGCAAGACTGACTGCGAGGATGGAGCTTTACTGTGCATTGCAATGATCTTTGAACCCAAGAACAAAAATGTTATCAATTGCAGCTTACCAGTCCATGGATGTGGTGGCTGCATTCGTTTTCTTTTTTCCACATGAGAACTTTTTCAGCAAGTGCATAAACGACTTGTTAATCCCGCCAGAAATGCCGTGTCAGTGTCACTTCCTGAAAGAAGGAAGCCTGGGTGACAACCATGACTCCCTCCATGGATACAATGAAGGAGCAAGTGTAGCCACCCTGGGACAGGAAGTGTGTTAGAGACAGGGTGAAAAAGAGCATGAAAAAAGAAAACGAATGCAGCCTCCACATGAGGGGACCGGTAGGTTGCAGTATATTACATTGTTGTCCTTGGGTAAAGATATTCTGGAAATGCTGTGCACACAGGCACTAGACATCTCGCCACCTGAGATGGGGGGTTGGCCGGCTCGCTGACGTCACTGGTTGCCAGGAGCTGGGCGGCATGCCGGCCAGAGCATCACAGGTTGCTAAGACCTCTC